GCCATTTTAAATCACTTTTAGATTCCAAACCTTATTTTTATATATTCATAAGTGCGCTGTAAAAGAAGAATATAATATGTAAATATAAGCAACATACAGAAAGTGTATCGTTATCTATTGTCTGTCTGTTATTGACAAAGAACTGTGACAGAGGAAGGTGAGAGAAGGGAGGTACAGGGAGAAGGGGAGGGAAAGAGAGAAGAAGAAGGAAAGGGATAGGGAAAGAGAGAAGGGAGGAAGAGAAGGAGAAGGAGAGGGAAAGAGAGAAGAAGAAGGAAAGGGATAGGGAAAGAGAGAAGGGAGGAAGAGAAGGAGAAGGAGAGGGAAAGAGAGAAGAAGAAGGAAAGGGATAGGGAAAGAGAGAAGGGAGGAAGAGAAGGAGAAGGAGAGGGAAAGAGAGAAGAAGAAGGAAAGGGATAGGGAAAGAGAGAAGGAAAAGGAGAGGGATAGGGAAAGAGAGGAGGAGAAGGAGAAGGAGAGGGAGAGGGAAAGAGAGAAGGAGAAGGAGAGGGAGAAGAGGAAGAGAGCAAGAGAAGGAGAGGAAGAAGGAAATAAGAGCAAGAGTGAGAACGAGGGGGACAGGGAGAGGAAGAAAGAAAGGGAGAACAAGCGATTGGGAGAGGGAGAGGGAAAGCAAGAAGGTAAGGAAGAGCAAGAGAGAGAGTGAAGGATAGGGAGAAGAAGAAGGCAAAGGAAGAGCAAGAAAAAGGAAGTAATAGAGGGAGGAGGAGAAGAAGAGGGAGAGAAAGGAGGAAGGAAAGAGTGAGCAAAAGAGAGGGAAAAGGAGAAAGGTAGGCTGTTGTATGTGCATTGCTATCTGTAACTGAATTAATGCTGTATAATACAAGTCATTCTAAATATAGTCACTGAAACGCTGAAAACACATTTTGATGATGACAAGACAGGAATTGAATAAAAACCTCCAAATACACATTTTACTAAAAAGGCACTGATTCTTATTATCATCACATCTCTCTCTCATGGATTACTGTGGACTAAACACCCAATAGAACAAAGATAGGCAAGTGTCAGTCAGGAGCTTGAGCTTACAGGCAAATTGGGGTAGAGGCTGACAGATAGATAAGTGGGCAGATAGATGGACAGACAGATAGACAAACAGGCAGGTAGACTGATGGACAAACAGACAGACCAATAGAGAGAGACAGACTAGCAAACAAATCAAGAGACCTAGACAGAGACAGGCAAACAGAAATCTAAAAAAGGAACAAATGAGAGAAAAGGAAGATAATAAGAGAGAAAGAGAACGAGGAGACATAGACAAAAGCAAGAGAACCAATAATTTCCAGAGAGTAGCTGGTTATCTGAATGCAGCTAAATCCCCAAAAATCTTAAGGCATCAACAGATTGTGAATGATTTTAAAGTAAGGATCTTGTGTTAGAAATAAAACCCTAGGATATCATTGCCTCCGAGGTGTAAAATTTCCCTCGAGTACACTCAATCTTAGCCGTGTGAAAATGTGTACACGTGGATATGTATATGTACGTGTATTTATTGTCGTGTCTGTAGAGTACTCATACAAAAAAAATCTTTGTGTAAATTTGCCTCTGTTAACATCATGAATAACAATAACTCAGGGAATAAGTAGAACCACAAGGTAAATAACAATGTTGATAAAATAGATACATAACAATCTATTTGTTATACTCTTGACAAACATTGAGATAATATGTAGCCTGGAAACTGTATAGGTCCCATGATAAATCACAATTCAAAAAAAGAATAAATAAAAAGAAATAGTCTATGATAGTATTCTGATGCAAGTTAGGCATCATTCTCTCTGATACCATAGACCAAATCTACTTGATAAAACACTACCAATAAAAATGGGGGAGGGAAGGAGAAGAAGGGATATATATATATATGTGTATATATGTATATATATATATATATATATATATATATATATATATATATATATATATATATATATATATATATATATACATATATATATATATATAAAAAAAATATATATATATATATATATATATATATATATATATATATATATATATATATATATATATATATATATATAGAGAGAGAGAGAGAGAGAGAGAGAGAGAGAGAGAGAGAAAGAGAGAGAGAGAGAGAGAGAGAGAGAGAAGCAGAAACAGAGAGGTAGACAGATAGAGACATGCAGGCGAGCAGGCAAGAAGACAAACGGACAGACAGAAAGACAAGCGAGCAGGCAGACAGACAGACAGTCAGAAAAGCGAGCAGGCAGACAGACAGACAGAAACAGATGTCAGCAGAGACAGCCAGGTGGGCAGACAGACAGACAAATAAGCAGACTTAGAGAGAGACAGAGACACACAGACGAAGACAAACAAACCTGCATGCCTACAGACAGTAACAGAAACAGACAAATAAAAACACACAGTTAACCGATCAAGAACAGGACCAGTCTGCGCCTGGCACCCTGAGACAATGAATTCAGTCGCGCATTCTGAGTAGCAGGGTCAGTCACTTGCGTCT